GGGAAATTGTTTATTTAAGGCGCATTTATTAAGTGGGGCGTCGATCCATGCAGTTATTTTGATGGTTTCCATTTCCATTTTTTTAATTTACAAGATAAAATAATCATCGCCTCACCCCAGGCTCTGTATAATTACTAAAAAAAAACTCTCTCACTAACAGGGACCTCGCTGTGACCACTGTGCCAAAGGTTATCGACGCTACCCTGCCTGTGAACCCTGCCCGTGCGACAGGGCGGGCTCCGTCAACGAGGAGTGTGACGGCGAATGCATCTGCAAGGTGAGTCGTCCGCAGTCACGCTTATGCCGTCGATGCTGGTGGATTGGTTGAAGGATGGGCTAGTTCCGTTAGGATTGATTGAAAGATTATTTTGCTCTGTGAGGATCAACAGAGGGATTGAAAGGTTCCGTTTGGATTGATTGAAAGATTGGCTAGTCCTGTTAGGAGAAATTGAAAGATTATTTAGTTTGTTAGGATCAATTGAAGGATTGGCGAGTTCCGTTAGGATTAATTGAGGGATTGGGTAGTTCTGCTAGGATGCCGGAGGATGTCGATCGACTAGAGCTAATCCGTTGATGATAGGATTAGTACAAGCAGATATGGAGAGAGTCCACTGTGACTTTGATATATTTATGTTGTTTATAGACAGGTGTTTATGGAAAGTATTCTCTTTTTTGTTCCAATTATTGTTGTTGATAACGTTATAATAATGATAATGAAAGAGATAATAACCCATTCAGCAGGTGAGACAGATGGACCTACTAAATGGCTCCCTGGTGACTAATAATTTGTGAAGCCATCTATATGTAAAAAGGAAATAGATAGATAGATAGATAGATAGATAGATAGATAGATAGATAGATAGACAGATAGATAGATAGACAGACAGACAGACAGACAGACAGACAGACAGACAGACAGACAGACAGACAGACAGACAGACAGACAGACAGATAGATAGATAGATAGATAGATAGATAGATATAGATATAGAGAGAGGACTGCATCTCAGGTCGCGTTTCATAGCAATTGACAGGGAAGTAAGTAGTGATCAGACTTCGTTCTCTTCATCTGTCTTTGATTTCAACTTTATTTTTATTATTTATTTGCAAATTATCTAGGTTACTAAAGCTTACGTACGAAGTGTTGTAGCTTGTATTTTCAATGTTCGTTTGATTATTGTTGTCATTATCATTTTGGTCTGTCAGAGGGACAGGCAAGTATGTATAAATATGTAAATATAGATTGACGATTGATAATTAGATTGATAGATGAATATAGATACAGAGATAAAGATAGGGACAGAATTCGACATAGAGATAGAAATAGACAATGAAGATAGGGATAGAAATAGACATAGAGATAGAAATAGACAATGAAGATAGGGATAGAAATAGACATAGAGATAGAAATAGACAGACAATGAAGATAGGGATAGAAATAGACATAGAGATAGAAATAGACAAACATCTCAGTTGTCACCCAATAACAACACTTCTTCTCCCCGCAGCCGAACGTGCGAGGTCCACGCTGCGACACCTGCGCGCCCGGACACTTCCACCTGGACGCCCACAACCCCGTCGGCTGCACGCCCTGCTACTGCAACGGGGTCACCAACGCTTGCGGGGCGGCGGCGCTGGCGGTCTACACGGTGGGTAGGAGATAAAGCGAAGGAGGAGGAGGTGGAATTGAAGGAGAAGGAGAGAAGGAGTGAAGGAGAAGGGGAAGGAGAAGGAGGAGGAGAAGGAAAAGAAGTGAATAGAATGAGAGGGGAGGTTGAGGAACGAGGGGAAGAGAAAAAGGAGAATGAGAAGAAAGAAGGGAAAGAAAGAAAAAAAAAAAAAAACGAATATACCATTTTTTCACATTAGTATTTGATATGACTTTTTTTCTTTTACATGGTTGGAAATGCTGCAATTTGAAGTCTTAAGTATGCAGTTTAATGAGTTATTTACTTGAACGGAATCAGTACAAGAAAAAATATTTGTTCTTTATGATATTCATAAACCTGGTACATTAAATGCAGGGGAAAGATAACGATAGATATATTGGCAATAAATATAATAATGCAAATTTATCAGTCCAAGATATTCATTACAAACGTCTTTCATAATAAATGCTAATGCTAAAGATACGAAAGAGTCTCCGTTCATAGAGGGTCCAGCACGAAATGAGAAAGGGAAAAATCTAAAAAGAAATACAAATCATAAACATAGATAAGAATTATAGAATTTCTAAAGGTAATTAGCTATTAAAGATCTCGTTAAGATGGTGGTGTAAAAGAAATGAGACAGACACAGACAGACAGGACAGACAGACAGACAGACAGACAGACAGACAGACAGACACCGACACAGACAGACAGACAGACAGACAGACAGACACAACACACACACACACACACGGCGGACAGACATACAGACAGACAGACAGACAGACATAACAGACATACAGACATACATACATACATACATACATACATACAACATACAGCATACAGACATACAGACGAGACAGACAGACGACAGACAGACAGACACACACACACACACCACACACACCACACACACACACACACACACACACACACCAGACAGACAGACAGACAGACACACACACCACACACACACACACACACACACACACACACACACACACACACACACACACACACACAGACAGACAGACAGACAGACAGGCAGACACACACACACACACACACACACACACACACACAACACACACACACACACACCACAACACACACACACACACACACACACACACACACACACAGACAGACAGACAGACAGACAGGCAGACAGAGAGACAGAGAGAATACGTAAATAGAAAAAGACACTAAAACAGAAGACGGAAAAATTCTAAAAGCATCAACGATAAAGCCCTTAACCAAGAACAATAATAACTGCGAAGACGCTCGTACTCCCCTCGGCTGAAGGTGGATCCAACACGAAAATGAAGACAAAAAAAAGTAAAAACAAAAAAAAACTAATAAAAGAAAAGCTATTAGATGAAAAGAAAAAATAAACGGCAAAATGTTGAAGACGTTTTAACTATTCATCTATTTATCATTTTTATTTTCAAAAGTGCACCATGCGAACACCCTTTTTCCACAGGGGGTGCAGAACGAAATGAGAAATAGAAATCTGAAAAACAAAAACGACAGAAATCTAAAAGGTTTAACCATAGAAATCTTAGAACGAGAACACTTCCCTATATATGTTATAAGTGAACAGGAGTTGAGAAAGAAAGAAAGAAAATAATCCCTAACACAATAAACAGGAAAGACAAAAATTCTAAAAGTAATAACAATAGATTAATAAGAATAATAACAACAGAAAATTACTAAACTCCCCCTCCCTTCCCCAAGGTTGTAATAAAAAAGATAAATTGATAATAATCATAACTACAGGAAATGCTATAGCCCCCCTCCTCCCTTCCCCAGGTTTGTAACGAAAAATAATATAAGAATAGTAAATACAGAAAATATTGAACTCCCCTCCCTTCCCCAAGGTTGTAATAAAAAAAAAGATAAATTAATAAGAATAATAACTACAGGAAATGCTAAAGCCCCCCCTCCCTTCCCCCAGGGTTGTAATAATAAAATAATAAGAATAATAACCAGAAATGCTAAACCCTCCTTCCCTTCCCCAGGTTATAATGAAAATAAATTAATGAGAATAATAACAACAGAAATACTAAACTTCCCCTCCCTTCCCCAAGGTTGTAATAAAAAAAGATAAATTAATAAGAATAATTACAGAAAATGCTATGGCCCCCCTCCCTTTCCCCAGGTTTGTAATAATAATATAATAAGAATAATAACAACAGAAAATACTAAACTTCCCTTCCCTTCCCCCAGGTTGTAATAATAAAACCTCCCTCCTTCAGGTTGTAATAATAAAATAATAAGAATAATGACCAGAAAATGCTAACCCCCCTCTCCCTTCCCCAGGTTGTAGTAATAAAATAATATGAATAATAACAACAGAAAATGCTATGGCCCCCTTCCCTTCCCCAGGTTGTAATGAAAATAAAATAATAAGAATAATAACAACAGAAAATACTCCCTTCCCCCAGGTTGTAATAACAAAATAATAATAATAACTACAGGAAATGCTATGCCCCCTTCCCTTCCCCCAGGTTGTAATAATTAATTAAAATAATAATAACAACAGAAAATGCTAACCCCCTCCTTCCCTTCCCCAGGTGGTGGAGCACGAGAACTGGAGCGTGGCGGACCTCTCCCTCAAGCGCGTGGTGGCGGCGGCGCGCGAGGGAACCGACGTCCACATCGCCCACGACGACATGGGCTTCTTCGAGGCCTACTACTGGCTCGCCCCTCAGGAGTACCTGGGCAGGAGGTGGTTTTTGGGGCGGGCGGAGGTGGTTGGCGGAGGTGGTTTGGGTAGGTGGTGGTTGAGTGGGTTGTGGTGGGGGAGGTGGTAGGCTTGGAGGTGGTTGTGGTGGGGAGGTGGTAGGCTGGAGGTGGGCAGGTGGTGGCGGCGGGGATGTGGGTGGACTTGGAGGTGGGTTTGTGGTGGGTGGGGTGGGTTGTGGCGGGCGATGTGGTGGACTTGGAGGTGGGTTGGGGCGGGGATGTGGGGTGGGGGTGGGTTGTGGTGGGGATGTGGTTGGCTTGGAGGTGGGTTTCTAGTGGGGTTGAGTGGACAGGGGGGTGGTTGTGGCGGTGGATGTGATTGGAGGTGGTCTCTGGTGGGGATGTTGGAGGTTGGAGAGAGGAGAAGGAAGGATGAGTGATAAGATGAGCGCAGAGAGATGAGAGGAGAGTGATGAACGATGAAGATAAAGAGATGAGAGAGGAACAAAAAGGATAAAATAGACTAACGAAAGGAACAAAATGAGAAAAAGGAAAAGATGACTACACTAACCCCCTCCCCCAGGATGACCTCCTACGGGCAGACGCTGACGGTGAAGGTGTCTTGGGTCCGCCTTCGAGGAGACACGTCAGGAAGGCCCACGCGATGTCCTGACGTCATCATCGAGGTGCGTCTTCGAAGCTGTTTTTTGTAGATTTATTTGTTGTTTGTTTATTATTTATTTATTGAAAATGTGTATCGTTTGGTAGGATATTTTTTGTTTATCGTATACATATTTAACATCCCTATTTATGTTGCATTCATAAACTTTGTAGAAAGGTATGAATGAGAATGAATATCTTCACAAAACAATACATCTTTGTATCGTGAATATATATTCTTTCTCATTCATACCTTTCTGCATTTGTCAACATGAATACGGTTCATTCATAAACTAATTTTCATTCCGTCGTATAGAGCATTTGTGCATCGCTATTATCATTCCCTTTCATATTATGCATTAACAAACAGTTATTATCATTCTGACTTGCTTATGAATATATGGATCACCACCCCGACGTATTTTGCACTTACCCCTTGTCGTCATGTCAATTTTTTCTGCATTCACACGCCCTTATCCCCCGCGCGTGTCCCCAGGGCGCCGGCTACCGCATAGCCTACGGGGACAACTCGCACCGAGGTCGGAAAGCCACGCTGGAGATCCCCTTCTACGAGCACGACTGGTTCCACTTCCCGAAGGTGAGGCGCTCTTTGTAATTTGTCTTTCTGTTTCGTGTTGTCTCTGTTATCTGTAGTTTTGCGGTTTAGTTTATTATTGTTATTTTATTATCTGTTTCGTGTTGTCTCTGTCGTGAAGTCCTGGTAGCTTTGCGGTTTAGTTTATTATTATTATTTTATTATTTTTGTATTAAAATGGATGGGGATTTTCATTCCTGTCTCGAAGTCCTGTTAATTTTGTGGGTTAGTTCGTTCTCTTTAAGAATTGAAATGGGTGCTGATTTTTATTCAAATTTTTTGGATGTATAGAGCGTATCATAAGTTTATGACACTATATAATGGGAATTAGACGCAACTGATTAACGAATAAGAATTACGAAAATGAGACAGATAGAAATATAAAATGAGAAATACATTTTTCATCTATTTCTTTATTCCGTCTCTCATAATCTTACAAAACCACCATGTACTCCCCTGCTTATCAAATCCTCCCCCGTTTCAGGACATCACTGACATCACCTCGAAGACCCAGTCGACGTCCTACCGCGGGGAGGCCGTCACCAGGAGGCAGATGATGGAGATCCTGAGCTCGATGGAGAGCCTCATGATCCGAGCTCGATACCACACCGTGCAGGTCGAGGGCGTGTGAGTTGCGAAGAGTCTCAGAATTCAGGAACTTAGTCGAAAGGGTTTTCTATAAAAAGATGAGGATAAATGGATAAATAAATGAGAGTAAGATTAAGATGTGCGAGGTATGATTCATCAGAGTGAAAGAAGAAAGCGGAAGTGGTTTTGAACTTATAACTATGTTAGAAGAGTTCTTTTTTTATCACGTTTATGGATCAGTAAAGGTATTTGCGGTGTTTGATTAAACGTTTCTGGCTTTATATACTGTTGTGTAAGTCCTTTTCAGTAGACAAAAAACTCGAGGTGGTTTAGCGTTTAGAACTAATTAAAAACATTTTGATATTATACCATTGTACCATAGCTTTCGGGATGTTAATACGCATCGTTAACTCTTCTCCCCTCCCCCTCCCTCTCCCCTCTCTGTTTCCCTCCTCTCACTCTCTCCCTCTCTCTCTTTCCCTCCCCTCTCTCTCTCCCCCTTTCCCTTTCCCTCTCAGCTTCTCTCCCCTCCCTCCCTAACTCCCTCCCCCTCCTCCCCCCTTCCTCTCCCTCTCCCTCTCCCTCCCTCCCTCCCCTCTCCCTCTCTCCCTCTCCTTCTCTCCCCCTCTCTCTCCCCTCTCTCCCCTCTCCCCCTCTTCCTCTCTCCTCTCTCCTCTCTCCCTCTCTCCTCTCTCCCTCTCTCCCTCTCTCCTCCGCGACCAGCCTCCACGACGTGATCCTGGAGTACGGCAAGGAGGGCACGGCCACCCTGGTGACGGGCGCCGTCGAGAGGTGCAACTGTCCCCGGGTGAGTTGGCCGCCGTCTTCTGATTCCAATTCCAAAAATCAGAATTACCCAATAGTGATTTTAAGACCTCCCCCCCCCCCCAACACTTATCCTCCCCCCAAAAAAGTATATATATGTATAAACAAAAAGGAAATTCTCAGTCTCCCCCTCAAAAAAGTAAAATAGATAGATGAAATGACAGTAAGAATGAAAAATATAGAATGAAAAATGGAAATATAACAAGAAATTAAAAAATAAAAACTCATATCACCCCCTCAAAAGAAATCTCCCCCCCCCTTTCCCTCTGACCCCGCCCTACCCCATTTACCCCTTACTCCCCCTTACTCCCCTTACTCCCCCGGGGTACTCGGGCCTCTCGTGCGAATCCTGCGAGCCGGGGTATCGGCGCGTCAACAACACCATCTTCGGCGGCGAGTGCAGGAGGTGCGAGTGCAACGGCCACGTCGACGCCTGCGACCCCTTCACGGGCGCCTGCGGGGTGAGTGGGGTGGTGGGGGGTGGGGGTGGGGGGTGGTGGTGGTGATTGTGATGGCGATTGTAATGTTGATGGTAATGATAGTGATGATGATGTTGATGAGGAGGATAATGATGGTAATAAGGATAGGAATATTGATAGTAACGGTAGTGATGATGGTAATGATAATTAGGATAATGATGATGATGATATTAATGATGATAAAGGTGATTATAACAGGAATGTGGTGTGTGAGGGTTGAGGGAGGAGGAGTGAATGTAGAAATGATTGATGACTAGAGAGATAAGTGATGACGAGATAGATTAAAGATAAAACGATTCTCTACTCACCACTCACTCTACATTCCTTCCTCACCCGAGAAAAAACAAAAACAAAACAAACACCACCCATTCTAACCCCTCCCTTCCCCTCCCCCCCGCCCACCCCAGGAGTGCCAGCACAACACCGTGGGCGTGCACTGCGAGCGCTGCAAGGCCGGCTACTTCGGCGACCCCGCCCTCGGCACCCCCGACGCGTGCCAGCCGTGCGCGTGCCCGCTGGCCTCGGCGACAAACCACTTCACCCCCGCTGCGTGCCCGACCTCGACCTCGGGTACAAGTGCCAGTGCCCCGCCGGCTACGAGGGCCCCCGATGCGAGACGTAGGGCGTGATGATAATGATGATGATAATAATTATTCAGTCCATTTATAATGAAATAAAGGCCAGAAGTAATAAAATCCCAAAAGTAGAAAAAATGGCAAAGTCTGTTTGTGTGTCGAATCATATGTTCATTTCGTGTCCTACTTGACTGATTAGATGTTTGTGGTTTTGATGGGGATTCTAGTTTATTTGGATGTTTATTAATTTATTTGGTTGTTTATTCATAATTTGTTAATTTATTTGGTTGTTTATTCATTTATTAATTTATCTGGTTGTTTATTCATTATTTATTAATTTATCTGGCCTTTTTAACTTTCGTTTATTTATTTGCTAATTGTTTGTTGATTTTGTCGTATACCTTGCTTGTTTGTCTAGTTAGTTAATGACTTATTCAATATTATTTACCTATTTCAGATGATGTTAATAGGAAAATAATAATATTACCTTAGTAATATTACCTTTGCCTTAGGGTTTATATTGACCGTTTGTTGACTATGATACGTTATATAGCACTTTGTTCATATTTTTGTCAAACAGCTTTTTCAAAGTAATGAACGCCTTCCTCCAACTCCCTTCCTCCCCACCACACACTCATCATGAAACTTGCAACAGCGAGTAATAAAAGTTATGATGTGCATGTCATAACATAGACCACCCAAAAAAAATCATCTGATCTCTTCTCCCTCCCTCCCCCTCTCCCCCCATGCCAAGCCCTTACCAATTAAATAATTCAAAAAAGCAATTTGACATCACAAGCAAAATCCGATTGAACAGCAACCTTCATTTCTCTTCTCTCTCTGTCTCTGTCTCTCTCTCTCTCTCTGTCTCTCTCTCTGTATCTGTCTCTCTCTCTCTTCTCTCTCTCTCTCTCTCTCTCTCTCTCTCTCTCTCTCTCTCTCTCTCTCTCTCTCTCTCTCTCTCTCTCTCTCTCTCTCTCTCTCTCTCTCTCTCTCCTCTCTCTCTCTCTCTCTCTCTCTCTCCTCTCTCTCTCTCTCTCTCTCTCTCTCTCTCTCTCTCTCTCTCTCTCTCTCTCTCTCTCTCTCTCTCTCTCTCTCTCTCTCTCTCTCTCTCTCTCTCTCGCTCTCTCTCTCTCTCTCTCTCTGTATCTCTCTCTCTCTCTCCGTCTCTCTCTCTCTCTCTCTCTCTCTCTCTCTCTCTCTCTCTCTCTCTCTCTCTCTCTCTCTCTCTCTCTCTCTCTCTCTCCTCTCTCTCTCTGTCTCTCTCTTCTCTCTCTCTCTCGTCTCTCACTCTCTCATTCTCTCTCTCTCTATTCCTCTTCTCTCTCTCTCTCTCTCTCTTCTCTCTCTCTCTCTCTCTCTCTATCTCTCTCTCTCTCTCTTCTCTCTCTCTCTTTCTCTCTCTCTCTCTTCTCTCCATCTCTCTCTCTCTCTCTCAGTAGTTACTTCATCCTATGAGATGTAATTTCTCTTTCGTCTCACAAAACGTGTTCAAACGTCTAAAAAAAGTCTCTCTTCTTTTCTCTTAATCTTTTCTTCCTCCTTCAGCTTGCGCCGACGGATTTACTTCGGCAAACGCTTGGTGCCCGAAGCAACTTTCTGCCAGCCGTGCGAGTGCAATGGCAACCTTGACTTCCGCGAGACGAACAACTGCGACCGGCAGACGGGCGAGTGCCTCAAGTGCGTTGGCAACACTGCGGGCTGGCACTGCGAGCCTCTGCAAGGAAACACTACGGGATCCAAGAGGTCGGTCGTTTGGAGCTTGATGTTTTTTTTTGTTTTGTTTGTTTATCCTTTTATTTTTGGTTTATCTTTTAATGTGTTTGTTTGTTTCTTCTGTCATTTTCTGATCCAAGAGGTCGGTCTTTCCGTTGGTTTTCTTATTTTCGTTTTTTTTTTTTACATTTTTATCTTTGTTTTTGTTTATCTTTTATTGTTTTTGTTTGTTTTCTTTCTGTCATTTTCTGATCCCAAGAGTCGGTCGTGGGCTTGATGTTTTTCTTATTTTCGTTTTTTTTACATTTTTATCTTTTTTGTTGTTGTTTTTTGTTTTGTTTGTTTTCTTTCTGTTCATTTTTCTAGATCCAAGAAGTCGTCGTGGATGTTGATCTTCCTTATTTTTCGTTTTTTCAATTTATCTTTTGTTGTTTTTCTTATTTTCGTTTTTTCATTTTATCCTTCTTTGTTTTGTTTTTCTTATTTTCGTTTTTTTAAATTTATCTTTTGTCTTTTGTTTGTTTCTTATTTCGTCTTTTTCATTTTATTTTTTGTTTTTTTTTGTTTCTTGCCGTCATTTCTGATTCCATAAGTCGGTCTTCTTGTTTTTCTCTATTTTGTTTTTTTTTCCAATTTATTTTTATTTCTTCTTTTATTGTCATATTTGATCCGATGGAGGTCGGTTTTTTTGTCTTGATGTTTTTTTATTTTCGTCTCTTTTTTTCAGTTTATTCTTTGTTTGTTTTCTTTCTTTCTGTCATTTTCTAATCCCAAGAGGTCGTCTTTTTCTTGGTTTTTCCTATTTTCGTTTTTTTTTTTCAAAATTTATTTTTTTTTTTTCTTTATTTCTTTTTCTGATCCGATGAGGTCAGTCTTTTTGTCTTGTGTTTTTCTTATTTTCGTTTCTTGTTTTTAAATTTTATCTTTTTGTTTATTTGTTTTCTTCTGTCAGTTTTCTGCATTCCAGAGCGTGCGGTCGTGGAGACGATATTCTTTCTTATTTTTCGCGTTTTTTTTTTTTTACTTTTTTTCTTTTTTGGTTGTTGTTTTTGTTTTGTTTGTTTTTCTTCTGTCATTTTCTGCATCCAAGAGGTCGTCTTCTGTCGTCTTAATTTTTTTGTTTCTTGTTTTTCTTCGTTTTCTTTTCTTTTTTCATCTTTTCTGATCCCAAGAGGTCAGTCTTTTCGTCGTAATGTTTTTCTTATTTTCTTTTTTTCGTTTTTCGTCTTTTCTCTTTTTTCTATGTATCATTCTTTTTTATCCCAAGATGTCAGGCTGGGACATGCTTGCTGCTTCTAAAGATTTTTCTTTTATATTATTTCTTGTTTTTCTTGTCTTTTCTCGTTTTTTCCTTTTTTTTCTTCATTTTCCCTTTTATCTTCTTTTTTTCCTTTTTTGTTGGTTTTGTGATTTTTTTTTCTTGTTCTTGTTCCTTTCTTGCATTTCTTTTGTACGATACTACATGTGTGCGATTTTCACATTAGTCCGTCATTGTCGTTATCATTATCATTATTATCATCTATTATCACTATTCTTATCATTGCGATTTCGTTATCATTTTATAATCTTGTAATTAAAATTCCTTATCGTAAAATCATTACATTAAATACATCCTTATTATCATTATCTTTGATTATCCTCATCATAATCATTAACATCTTATCATATATTATCGTTTATCCTTATCATTCGATTTGTCATTATGATCCTTTATCATAATCAATATCGTAATTATCCTTATCTAATCATTGTCTTGATCATCATAATTATCATCCTTATTATATCATCATTTCCTTATCATCAAATCATTATCCATTAATTATCCTTATCATAATCATCATAATCATTATCATAATCATTATCATTAACTATCCTTATCATAATCATTATCGGTAATTATCCTTACCATTCTCCTCCTCCTCCTCCTCACCCTTATCCCTCCGTGCCACAGGGGCCAGTGCATCAGGTGCGGGTGCCACCCCGAGGGCTCGGCGACGGGCCAGTGCCACCCCGAGAGCGGCCAGTGCCAGTGCAAGAGGCTCTACACGGGGCGCCAGTGTGACCGATGCATCGTGAGTGCCGGAAGATCTGCAGTTTAATAGTATCGGTGTTTTTATTATTGATATATCTATTTATCTATCTGTTTATTATCTGTCTATCTATCCATTGTTTTATTATTTATTTTATTTATTTATTATTTATTTATTAATTATTTATTCTTTTTTAGGATTAGTTTAATTTCTCTTTAATTCTTTTTATCTTTGGTTGGGAGAAAATGTGTTTTTTTTCTGTATCTCCAGCTTTTACTTTTGTTTAATGTCTTTTTTTTTATTTAGTTTCTCTTTATTTGGTGATAGGAAAAATATGAAAGGAAATAAATAAATTACTGTTCTGTAAGAAAAAGGAATGTCATAAAACAAAGAATTCATAAACAGGTCTAATTTAGAAATAGAAAAAATCAAAACACAACTAGAACAAAACAAAAACAAGCAAGCAAACAGAAAGTCATGAACAAATGTCCATTACTTAAGAAGAAAAAAGAGGCGACAACAGAACAAAAATGACTCAACAACAAACAAGCAAACACACAAACGACAAAAAAAACACCAAAACAAAAACATAAAACGAAATCAAACAATTAAACAAGAAAATAAAAACATAAAACCCCGAGAACTTTCCTTCCTCGCGCTCATCTCCCCCTTCCCCCCCTCCCCCTCCCCAGAGCGGCCACGGGGCGTGAACGAGGGCTGCCCCGCGTGCCAGTGCCACCCCGAGGGATCTTCGAGTGCCATCTGCGATCCCTTCACGGGCCAGTGCCCTTGTAATCCGGGTAAGCACGTGACTGTCTTTTTTATTTACTTTTTTATTTACTTTTTATGCGTTTGTTGAGGAATTTCCTTTCGTTGTTTTATTATTATTATTATTATCTTATTTAGATAATTATTAGGATTATTTAAAAATGAGAAGTGGCTTCTATTTGTCCTTTTTTGGTTTGTTGAAGATTCTCTTCGCCTGTTAATTGTTTTGTTATTTAAGATGGTATTAACAGTCTTGTTATTTTGATCAGTTTATGTTTTATTATAATATTTTTGATTAGATTTACACTTTGTTATTTGAATTTAAATCAATCTAGATTCTGTTATCTAAATTTCATTTGATTTTTAAATGGATATTACATTCAGATTGCATATGATTTCATAAAATCAGATTTGAATTGAATTATATTTTATTCTCTGTTGTTACTTCGACTGTCATGTAATCTATTAAAATAATAATGATAATGATATTAGAAGGAGTTCGTTGTCAGTTGTGAACCAAACTGCAGTGATGGCTAGTTGATATGGTAACCAAAAAACGTCTATTTTATTTTGAATTAAGATTGAATTAAGAATTAATATTGCAATCGGTGTATTGTGGTGGCTGGATTAATTTATTCCACTCAGTATATTATGGTGTCCAGTCGCTTCACTGTATTCCAGTTAACATATGACATTTTACCCCTCAATATATTCCATTTAGTAATATATTTTGGTATTCAAATCATTCTCATTAATTCTAGACAAGAGAATCCAATCGTCATTATATATTCCTAATCCTTATATGAAAATCGAAACATAATTATATCTTCCAAATCAGTATGAGTCTAATCGTGTATATATATTCCAAATTTAAGATATACTATGATCCAATCGTTCTTATATCTTACAAATCAGTTGATGATAATAATCTAGCCATTCTTATATACTCATATAAATATTTTAGAATCCAATTGTCATTTTATATTCCAAATAAGTATGATCCAGACGTCCTTTATATTCTTAATCGCCCAAATATATTCCAAATCAGTATAAAAGTATCCAATCCTCCTTATATATTTCAACTTTGTATATGATAATAATCCAATCATCCTCATATACTCATAGCAATATATATTCAGTGTTTATATACTTACGTATCTTTTTATTATACCTAATTATTATTTCTATTATGATATCATTTTATTATTCATTATTATTGTATATTTTTTGTATTTATTTCCATTGTATATTTTATATATATACTTATTTATTACCATTATGTATTATACATTATGTATATAATTATTTATTCACCAATATATGTTCAACATATACATGCATTCATTAATTTATTTACTAATATTATGTTTATAATTATTTATTCACCAATATATATTCAACATATACATGTTTATTTACTATTTAATTTCCTGAAGGTGTGACTTATTCAACATATACATGTTTATTTATCTATTTAATTTCCTGAAGGTGTGACTGGCCGGCGCTGCAACGAGTGTCTTCCCGATCACTACGGGACGCTGGCTGAAGGCTGTGCGAGTGAGTACTTGAATTTGTGTTTTTTTTTATTGATGCTAATCTTAATTTTATCTGTGATTGGGTTGTGGTTGGGAGACTTTTTTATGGTTTTTTGTTTTTATTTTATTTTTATTTTTATTTTATTTTTTATTTTATTGATATGTTTTTGTGTATTTTTTTCAAGTGGTTAAGTTCGCGGTTTAATTTTTTTTGCGTGTGTGTAGTGTGATATTTTACGAAAAGAATTTAATTTTGAGTTGATTTGCTGTTTTGATTTTATTTACGTGTGTTGAGTGACGTTGAATTTGATTCGAGTTGAATCTTGGTCGAGTTTGGGTTTGATCTGAATTCTGCGATGGATTTTTTGTGTGGTTTGATATTTTCCGATAAAAGGATTGATTTTGTCGCACTGTATATAATATTGTGAGCTTTATCAAGATTATCTATTTCTAAAATAAGGTATATTTATATATATATATATTGATAAAAGAGCCTGCTTTATGGTAAAGTTTGAAATAAGTTTATTTATCTCCGTGCGGCCAAATAAGGAGTGTAAGTTCCGTAGAGTTTTGTTGAATACATGTGGCGGGGCTACGGGCCTATGAATAAGGTGGAGGGAGATTTGTTGGGGAATGTTGGGGGAAAGGCGGTGTTGGAGATGGAGATTTTGGCGGGAGGTTAAGCATAGTATATCTAGCTTTAAGTTTAAGTGGGAAGCGAAACTATCCATGACGATGAGAAATAAACAAAACTAAAAAAACTAAATTAATATTCCACGCCTTTCCTGGACTTGAAAATCACACGTAAAACATTTCCTTCCGAACAAAACAAAAACAAAAACAGGATTGATACGATTTCCATGAAGAGCATGAGAAATCGGGGTCTTTCTCTCCCCCCTCTCCTCCCCTTCCCCCCAGCACACACACACACACACACACACACACACACGTATCTTCCCCTTCCCCCTCCAAGTCCTCCTCTCCATTTCCTCCCCACCCCCCCTTTCCCCTTCCCCTCCCCCCTTCCCCTCTCCCCCCTTTCCCCCCCCCCTTTTCCCCCCCCATCCCCCTTCCCCCTCCCCCACTCAAGCTACCAAGCCTCTTACTCTCACCATGTACGGAAGTCCATGTGCATTCTGTTGGGATTATGTGCGTATGCGGTGTAATTAGAATGTTCTCACGCTGCTTGTTCTTCTTGAACGGCAGAGAACGTGTTCATCTGTTCAGTGCGCGCTCGATTTAAACCGCCCGAGGTGTTCTTGCGGAACAGGTGTTCTCGCGTGCGTGTGTCAGTATGTGTGTTCAATAAAGTGGAGAAGGAGATGAAGCAGAAATACAAAAAAGGAAAAAAAAAAGAGAGAGGGAGAGAGGGGGAGAAAGAGAGAAAGAAAGAGAACATAAAAGCAAAACCCCAAAACAGAGAGAAGATTGAGATAACGGGGAGAGAGGAGAGGGGAGAGGGGGAGAGGAGACAGAGGGGAAGGAGAGGGGAGGGGGGAGAGGGGAGGGGAGCGGGGAGGGGGTGGGGGAGACCCGTGGTTGTGATGCGCCTTGTGACTGCATATGGGGGGGGGGGGCTGTGTTAGACCCGCCCGCGCCTGCCCTGCATTCGAAGCGGCGTGTCTGGGCGTGCGCGTCGGCGTTCCCGGGACCTCGTGGCGCGGGCGGGGCGGGGGGCGGCGCGGTCCCAGGGCGGCCTGAGAGCGGAGCGAGTGTCAGGGGGGTGGGGGTGGGGGGTGGGAGGGTGGTAAAGGGGAGGTAATGGGAGGTGGGGGGTGGAGGGTGGTAATGGGATGGGGGGTAATGGGGGTGGGGGTGGAGGGTGGCAAAGGGGGGGGTAATGGGGGGGGGGGGGAGAAGCGCGCCCGGGAACATGTTGCTAAGCATCGGTTCTGCCTTCATTTCACTCGTTCTTTTTTTCTTTATTTTTGCTTCGCTTGGTTCCTGTACTTGCCCTTCTTCCGTCTCTCTCTCTCTCTCTTCTCTCTCTCTCTCTCTCTCTCTCTCTCTCTCTCTCTCTCTCTCTCTCTCTCTCTCTCTCTCTCTCTCTCTCTCTCTCTCTCTCTCTCTCTCTCTCTCTCTCTCTCTCTTTACTTTACTTTACTTAGGTCATTATCATCTTCCTCCGTCTTTTTTGTATTTGTATTTTATTTCCTTTGATCCTCCTCCTCATCTTAGATTCTTTTTTTATGGTTTTTATATTTTATCATTATATATATCATATATATATATATATATATATATATATATATATATATATATATATATATTAATATTAGGTCCTTTCACATATATTGTATGACAGTATAGTTCATTTTTGCTTTAATTTGGATTTACATATGTTTATTTTTTTGAATTTGCATTTTTATTTTTTGAATTTGCTTTTATTTTGTATTTGCATTTTTTTTTCTTTTTCTTTTTGGCTTCGTCCGCATGCGTGGAATGGCGGCGGACCTTATCGGAGTTTATCGGAGTTCCAATAAGTTTAATTTGATCCGAATCCAGTGATAGGAGATAAGGGGGGAGGCGGGAGAGGGGGAGGGGGGGTATTGGGTACGGGAGAGGGGGTTGTATTTGCATTTCGGGGGGGGGGTGACGTCGGTACAAGGGGGGGGGGAAGGAGGGAGGGAGGAGGGAGGAGGGAGGGAGGAGGGGGAGGGAGGGAGGGAGGGGGAGGGGGGGAGGGGGGAGGGGAGGGGAGGGAGGGAGGGGAGGGGAGGGGGAGGAGGAGGGAGGGGGAGGGAGGGAGGGAGGAAGGGAAGGGGGAGGGAGGAAGGGAGGAGGGAGGGGGGAGGGGAGGGGAGGGAAGGGGGGGAAGGGGGAAGGGGAGGGGAAGGGGGCAGGGGAGGAGGGAGGGAGGGAGGAGGGAGGGAAAGGGAAAGACCAGAGACAACGGAAGCTCGCAACAGCTGGCTAGATTGACACCAACTTTCTAGAAGCTGGTGGCATCATCTCCCCCTCCCCCCCCCCACCACCCTTGCTGTGATACCTTTTCTTTTTCTCCTTCTTCCTTCTTCATCATCTTCTCTCCTCCTTCCTCCTCCTCCTCCTCTTCTTCTTCTTCTTCTTCTTCTTCTTCTTCTTTCTTCTTCTTCTTCTTTCTTCTTCTTCTTCATCTTCTTCTTCTTCTTCTTCTTCTTCTTCTACTTCTCCTTCTACTTCTTCTTTTCTTCTTCTTATTCTTCATCGTCCTCCTCCTCCTTCTTCCTCCTCCTCCTCCTCCTCCTCCTCCTCCTCCTCCTCCCTCCTCCTCCTCCTCCTCCTCCTCCTCCTCTCCTCCTCCTCCTCCTCCTCCTCCCTTCCTCCTCCTCCTCCTCCCTCCTCTCCTCCTCCTCCTCCTCCCCTCCTCCTCCTCCTCCTCCCTCCTCCTCCTCCTCCTCCTCCTCCTCCTCCTCCCTCCTCCCTCCTCCTCTCCTCCTCCTCCTCCTCCTCCTCCTCCTCCTCCCTCCTCTCCTCCTCCTCCATCCTCGTTTCAAATTCCTGTTGCATCTTCCCCTTCTTCGTATGGCACCCTCCCCCCCCCTTCCTTCCTGTGGCACCGTCCCGTTTCCTCCCACGAGTGCCAGGAGCCATAGATTTCCTCTCAATCCACCCTACCTTCCCTGCCACTGCGGAAAGGAAGAGTGGAAGAGGAGGAGAGGAAGAAAAAGAGAGGAAGGGGATAAGGAGGATGAGAGAAGAGGAGGGAGATGAAGAGGAGGAGAGGAGAAAAAAGAGGAGGGGGATAAGGAGGATGAGAGAAAGAAAAGAGGAGGAAGGGGATAAGGGAGAGGAGGAGAAGAGGAAAAGAAGAGGGAACATGATGAGGAGAAGGAAGAGGAAGAGGATGAGAGGAGAAGTATAGAGAGGAAGAAGGAGGAGATGAGAGAAAGAAGGAGAATAGGAGGAGAGGAGGAGAAAGAATAAGAAAGGGAACATGAAAAGGACGAAGAACAGGAAAGAGAAGAAATAGGAAAAGGAAGAGCAGGAGGAGATTGAGAAACAAAGAAGGACGAAGACGACCGAAAACAAGAACAAATAGGACAAGAACAAGAACAAAAAGAACAAGAAAAGAACATAGAAAGGATAAAGAACAAGGAAAAAGGAACAAGAATAGAAAGGATAAAGAAAAAGAAAAAAGGAACAAGAATAGAAAGGATAAAGAACAAAGAACAAGAAAAAGGGAACAAGAATAGAAAGGACAAAGAACAAAGAACAAGAACAAAAGAACAGGGCGACGCGAGAGGGCGAGGCGGCACTCGAAAGGCCGCCCACTCTCTCCCTTCTGAAGGCATTATCGGGACAAGAAGAGCCGTTGCAGAAGCCCTAAGTTGTTATTGTATTTGTTTTTTGTTGCTGTTTTTTTTTCCTTGCAATTGAGTGTGAAGCGAGTCGGTCTTGAGGGCACAGGCACAGTGCCGTTGCCAGCCAGGAATGCAATTTCTTTCTTTCAACGTGAAGGGAGATAGAAGCTTGTTATGCCCATCCGTCGGTGCATTAAGGATATTCTCTCTTTTATCTTGTTTATTCATTTTTTTATGAATCTTTTCTTTTCGTTCTGTTGTTTTTTTTTCACCGTCCGGATGTTTTTACTTTCGTCTTTTTCTTTCCGCTCTCTTTCTCTCTCTTTCTGTTTACTCTGCGCCGCGGAAATGCTTCTCGTGACCTCCTCTGTCCTGCTCTATCCTCCTCTGTCTTCCTTTCTCCTGCTCTATCCCCCTCTGTCTTCCTTTCTCCTGCTCTATCCTCCTTTATCCTGCTCTATCCTCCTCTGTCCTCCTTTATCCTGCTCTATCCCCCTCTGTCCTGTCCTCCTGTTCTTCTGCCGCGGGATGCCTGGTGGCCGGGATGGGGATGGTTGGTGTGGTCAGAGCCTCTGGTGGGGCGGGATCGCTGGCGCCGCTGGGGGTAGCTGGTGTTATTCCTGCTGTCGAACGCAAGCACAAGCACAGCAACGTGGACACAAAAATGAAAATGAAAACAGCCATAATGAGATTACGAAATAAATGTGACGTTTCAGACAGATAATAAACCATAATGGAAGATCT